CACCTGTTGCTCGGGGACTCCCATCGGCTGCTGCGCGGGAATTTCCCTCGCCTGTTGCTTGGGGACTTCCCTCGTCTATGGCTCAGGGACGTCCTCACCCCCTCTTGGTTGGTCCCACGCGTGCGTGCTGTGTGGAGGCTCCTCTGTGCTTGGCGGAGGAGCCGCTGGAGCTTCGTCGTTGTCCGACCACTCGAGCACCACACTTCTTCGCGTTCGAGTGGTCTGGTCACCACCAAGCGAGATGCCGCTTAGTTTGTGGGGAGCGGCAGCTGCCGTCTTCCTCTTCTTCTGGGCCGGCTCGTCTGTCGCTACCTATTTCCCCCAGGATTTCTCCGACATCGGGGAGGTCTCTCCGTGCAATCAGCATCCATAACTCTAGATTCCGATGAGATGCTGACGGAACTTTCTTCGGGTGGTACCAATGGTCGGGCGTCCACCGCTGGCGGCCAATCGGCTCTGGGCATGCCCGAAAAGTACACTGCCCTATCCTACGAATGGATCTTTGCATAAGTGAGTTAGTCCCCTGCTCGGCAACCGTCAGGTGAACAATGCAAACTAAGATGGTTACCTGAGGAGGCGGGTTGGTACAGTTGAAGGCCTTCATTTCCATCAGCCAGCTAAATGAGGCGTTGGAGGTGAATAGCTCTGTGGCCCGGCCTATTACTTCTTTCTTTGACAGCCGTTCAGCACTCTCTCGAGTCCTGTCGTCGTCGCCCCTGTAGTCAAAGGCTGGGTGGACCCTCTCTTTGCAGGGCTAGACACGGCGCACTCTAATGCTTGCTGCCACCAGTTCACCTCTCATCTCCACACCCTGAATCAAATCAAGGAGTTCCTTCACTTGCTCCATGTCAACACTATTTGGTCTCTCCGACCAGCTACTCTGGCTCTCCGGGATGTGGTGGACGTCGCACCGGATTACCGGGTGGCTCTGCTTAATGTAGAACCACCTGGCGTTCCATCCTTTCAGAGAAGTGTTCAGCGGTACATTGATGTACTCGCTGGCCATCCCATCCCTGAGTTGTAGATATACGCCGCCGACCACCTTGGAACCACTGTCGCCCTTCTTCTTCAACCAGAACAGGTGTCTGAAGAGGTTGAAGTGTGGGAGAATCCCCAGAAATGCCTCATAGAATTGGATAAAGACTGAGATGTGCAGTACGGTGTTTGGGTGAAGGTTGCACAGGCTAATCGCCCAAAACTCCAGTAGATCTCTCAGGAAAGGGTGAACAGGAAACCCCAACCCTCGCCAGAAATAATCCTCAAATACTACAGCTTCATCAGTGTGAGGTGTTGGGAAGGGCTCACCACTGGCTGGCCGCCATTCGGCGGTGACGCGGTCTAGAAGAACGCCCGCCGCTACCATTCCGTTGAGCTCTGCCTCCCCCATCTTCGACGGCACCCATTCTTCGTCGCGGCTGGCTCTAGTGGTCACTTTCCTAGGCTTCACAGCTCCCTTTTTCGGCGCCATTCTCTTGGATCTGGCTTGAGATTGGAGGCGGTTGCGCGCGTCGATGCGGATCGGGAAGCGCAAGAGCTGAGAAAGAAGATGGCTGGGCGAAATGGTAAAGGTGGGGGGCGTGGGATGCGGCGGCGTAGTTATAAAGCACAACGTCAGTTGTTTCACAATCGAGGGTTTTTGGGGAACCGTTCCTGCGATCTGCACCGCTCCGAATTCTCCGAAGCGGCATATGGGCCGTTACCTGGGCTTCTATGCAACTGCAGCCCACGTCGCTCATTTATCGTCGCCGCCGTTTGTTGTTCGCCAGATAATCACCAACTTCTCTGCCATTTATTGAGGCTCAGTAACCGTTACTGTACAGCTATCTCTCTAGTTTTTTCTCCATGGTTGGACTCCTCCGATATCTCCGCTGACGGCTCGAGGGTTGGCCGCTTGCTTGGCTGGTCTTTTCAAGTTTCTTTGTTTCTGACCCTGGCACCACGTGACTTCATCACCTACTGTCAGGCTCGGGGACTAAGTGGGCACACTTCACCTCGTGGTGAATGTGCTTACTTTTTTCTAGAAGACTCCACGCTCCTTGAGGCTGAAGAAGTTTATTTCTTGCTCTCGTGGCCGGACTCTAAGTGGGCACACTTGATCCACTGCGAGGAAATTTTTGATTCTGAATTTGAGCTCCTTACACCCTTATGACAAGCCCTGTTTGGATCATGCTGCTCGGTTGTGGTCCGCACTGCTCGGCAACTGCTCGCAACTGCTCGATAACTCATTACGATGGTCGAATCATGAGTTTTACTGCTCGGCCAAGCGCAAAATGGCGTTGTGCAACGGGTACAAGGTGCTCGGGGACTAGCTGTGGGGGGTACGACCCTGGATACCCACGGCAGACCACATGGGCTGCGCCCCCAGGGGCGTCCCGGCCCACAAGACGACGCCTTGAGGGGCACGACTCTGCTCGGCGGCTTCTGCAAGACATCTGGAGGATATCCTGAAGATACTACGAGATCTATTAGAATATGTATGATCCCGAGATTCCTGTAATCAGTTATTACTTTCCGGTTATCTCTTAGATCTGACCGACTTGTAACTCTGCTCCCCGGACTATATAAGGCGAGCAGGGACCCCCTCCAAACTCACGCAATATCATACGATAGCTAATACAAACCAACAGACCACAGGAGTAGGGTGTTACGTCATACTGATGGCCTGAACCTGTCTAACTTGTGTGTCTTTGTTGCCTTCTTGTTCTTGATCTCGCGCTCCTCTGTCGATCAATCTACCTTCGTGGGATACCCCTCGGAGGACTGCCGACTATATTGTATCGACACATACGTTGTTTGGCTCGAGCTAGGTGCTGACGGATCAAATTAGTCATAACCTGACGATCTTGAAGCCAAGAAGACAGCTCTGGTATAGCCACATCATCCAAGATAGATATCCTGAAATGACGAGGTGGGTAGCCATAAAGAGCTTCAAAAGGGGAGCAGCCAAGTGCAGAATGAGGGAAAGCATTGTACCAGAATTCCGCCAAAGCAATCCAAGATGACCATTTAGCCGGGCATGCATTGACAAAACAGCGTAAGAATGTCTCCATGGATTGATTGAGGCGCTCTGTCTGGCCATCAGACAGCGGGTGGTAGCTGGAACTCATCTGCAAAGAGACATCGGCCAAACGGAAGAGCTCACGCCAAAAGTGACTTGTAAAGATATGATCCCTATCAGATATAATTGCAGTCGACAGATCATGCAAGCAGTAAACATTGTTGAGAAACAACTTAGCAACCACAGGAGTTGTAAACGGATGGAGCAGTGGCAAGAAGTGGCCATACTTAGTGAATGAATCAACCACAACAAGAATGCAGTTCACATTACCAGAGCAGGGCAGCCCCTCAATGAAATCCATAGATATTGTTTGCCAAGCAGCGTCAGGTACTGGCAGAGGTTGAAGGAGACCGGGCAAACAAGTACGATTGGGCTTAGCCTGTTGACAAGTAAGACAAGCTTGAACGAAGGTTCGGGTAGCAGATTTCATGCCACGCCACTGGAATAGTTGTTTCAACCGAGTATATGTTGCCGGAAATCTAGAATGACCCCCGAAGGCGCTTGAATGGATGGCATGGAGAATTTTCTGCTACAGTACTTTGTTGTCCCCAATCCAAATACGTGGACCCTGACGGAGGACGCCATCCTGAAGAGAAAAGCCTGGCACAGCTGTTTAATCAATGGTAAGCTTCACTATCATCTCTGATGATGTAGGATCAGCAGCATACCCCGACACCACCTCTTGTATCCAAGTAGGAGCAACCACAGAAATAGCAGCACAAGCTGAATCATGAAAGCTCTTATCACGAAAAGCATCCAGCAGCTTTTGAACGACATGTAGTTGAACTGCAGCAGGGCACTGATGATCGCGACCCCATTTTCCACCACACCTCATACAGAGGCCTTGAGCACGCCGGGTTGCGCGAAGTGCGGACCAACGTTCATCCAGAGTAGGTCCACGCCCAGCATGCACAACCGGCTTCACCACGGTGGCTGGTAGTGCAAGACGGGGAGGTGGTGGAGGTAGAGGAAGCGCCCACGGAGCATACAGTCGGGGTCCCACCGGGTGTTCCGCATGCCTGAAGTCCCTCTTCTTGGCAGGGTCAGTGACCTCCTCCTATAATTTAGCAAGGATGCAAGCAGTATCCAGATTTTGGGGACGATGCAAAGTTACTGTGGCTCTAATAGTCTTTCAAACCATCAACAAATCTCATAGCATAGTATAGAGGGTTTGTGGTACCACTGTAAGCTGATAAGTCATCTACGATATCAATGCATTGGTCTATATACTCCTGAACAGAATTAGTTTGACAGATTTGAAAAGGTTGTCTAAGCAAAAGCTAATGCTCATCCTGGCCAAAACGATCAAGGATCAAGCGGGTAAATGTAGGCTAGTTAGCGGTTTGGAGCTGGGATTCAACATAAGGGTACCAACGCTTAGCAGCATGTGTGAAATGCATTTTAGGGACCCTAACCCACATGTGAGGTTCAGTACCATAGAGTTCAAAGTAATCCTTGCATTGACTAAGCCAGTATTTGGGTTGGGATCCATCAAACTTAGGGAAATCAAATTTAGGAAGTTTGGGAGGCCGAAACCCGTTATGCCCCACCCCGGTGGTACCACTACGAACTCCTGGATCATCGGTAGACTGGAAAACAGATCTCAGAGAGGGAGGAGTGCGAAATGGTGGCATAGCCTTGACCGGGGAATGAATCAGGGTAGAAACTACCCCAAATCCACTCTCTCGGTGGTGATTGTCGACGCAGTGCCCATTGGGCATATTTGCTGGAGCACCGACGAACAGATGCTCGACAGCTAATGGAACGACGGCAAAGACGCCTGCTCCCAGTTGCGAGAGATCTTCAACACCTCCAACTTGGACTTCGAGATGTCGAGCTTCATGTCGTCGACGATGCCTTCAATCGACGGCCGCCACTCATCGAGCGACGCGGTGACCTTCTCTAGAGCCGCCATGCGCCCCTCCTGCGCCTGCTCTAGGTCATGGATCTGGCGAGAAAGGCGCGCATCCTGATCCGTGAAACACGAATCCCACTTCTGGTTATGCTTGTTGAAATGGCGGTTGATCTCGTCGAGGATGATTTTCGTCTCCGGGTTCATGATTCCCAGGCGGTGCTGTCGTCAGGTGAAGTGGTCGTGGGCAAAAGGTTGGGGATGATCCAGATCGACCGCAACCACAAGTCGATTCAAGCGGAGAAGGGAATTACGGCGACCAAATCCCTAGCAGCAGCTCACTGCTAGAAACGAGATCGAACCAACCGGATCAATTGCTCAAATCAACCGATGGAGTAAGAGCGGATTGATGAGGGTAACCCAAAATCGTTGTCTCTGATATCAATTGTTAGCAGTAGGCAAGGAGTAGAAGCAATTTGGGGAGAGGATCAGACAAACAGCACAGCAATTAGGCAGGAAGGATAGGCAGGAAGGATGAGTGCCTGAGAGTTTAGAGTCTGATTACAAAATTCCTGATGATCCTATCTCTCTCTGGTAGCTTATATTCTTACACGGCTTTCGCCCACAGGTGCACATAGGCACGCTCACATCCACTCAGCGCCAGCGAGACGAACGTTGGGACAGCGAGTGCGTGATCCATCCCGAGGTACTTGGGCCGCCTCTTCTGATGTAGACATAGCAGATGGGCCGATAACACCGTGGCGGCCAGGGCCGGCGCGGTCACGTTCAGCGCAACGAACGCCGCGTCGAGCACAGTGGGCGGCAAGCGGTTCGGCCGGGATGTCGGCGTCGCATACTCGAGGCGAGTGCTCTCGGACGCCGCCTCCTTTTGCTGGAACACCTTCAACCAGCCCAGCCCCGCCGACCGCAAGCCCGTCGACGCGGTGACCCTCGTCGTCGAGGACATCGGCGGCGTGGCCTTCACGAGCGCCAACGGGGTCCACCTCAGCGCCCAGTACGTCGGCAACTACTCCGGGGATGTGAAAACAGAGGTTGGTGAGATCAGATGCAGTGTGTTAGTAGTAGTTTAACCCACATGTTTCGACTTTCGAGCTCAGGCAACTATCTGAAAGTTTCACAGGTCACCGGCGTGCTGTACCACGAGACGACGCACGTGTGGCAGTGGAACGGGCAGGGGCACGCGAACGGCGGCCTCATCGAGGGCATCGCCGACTACGCCCGGCTGAAGGCGGGGTACGCGCCGGGGCACTGGGTGAAGCCGCGGCAGGGAGACCGATGGGATCAGGGGTACGATGTCACGGCGAGGTTCCTGGACTACTGCGACTCGCTGAAGCCGGGCTTCGTCGCGCTGCTCAACGCCAAGATGAAGGACGGCTACAGCGACGATTTCTTCGCTCAGATCCTGGGGAACACCCTGCAGCAGCTGTGGCAGGACTACAAGGCTAACACCCTTCTCATTGGATCGTTTCCATGACTTATAAACCGGCTGATACTGTTTTAATTGTGAGAGTATCATGGCGGATAAGCATGGCGATAAAATCAAGCGAACAGGTGCGGGAGCTGATGCAAATAGGTGGTGCGAAGTCAAGACGTCAACGCCACAGTGCTTTAGTATGAAACTGAATATGACAGAATTGAATAAGGTGTTTGATCATCATCTCAGGGTAGTGTTGCTACTAGTACTGATATTGTTGAAAATAATGTCTTGTTGATGTCTGCACAGTGTGTGGAAAATAAATAAATAAAGGAAATAAATTAAAGGGTCAAATAATTAAAGAAAGATTGATATTATAAGGTATGGGTATATATGGTGGTATTGAGCTGGAGCACCGGTGTCCGCACACAACGATTACAATATTACATGGGGCAACAAGATCGAGATGCAGAAATCATATCCAAAAAGATTCTTTCATCATCACGCTGCATCAGTGCCCAAAACCACAGCCAATATGTTCCCCTAAAAATAGCCCGCGTAAAAGATGTACATTTGCAGTTTTTAAAGTTTAGATCATTACGACATCTCTAAATTGCCTAACATAAGGGACTACCCCAACCGAAATATATTTCTTCTCTTTTAAATCAAAATTTGATAGCCCACTCCCTAACATGCGGGATACAGTGCTGTGAGGGGTTAACCCATTAGCTATAGAGACAGTCCTCCAGATTGCCTTGGCATGATGACGATCAAAGAAAAGATGTTTAATAGTTTTGTTATAGTTACAGAAACAACACTTTTGGCTACCTTTCCAATTCCTCTTAGTTAGGTTATCCTTTGTTAAAATAAACCCCTGCTGGAGATACCGTAGGAAAATATTAAGTTTTAGAGAAATTTTTAACTTCCAAATTAATTTATGAGAGGAAGAATTCTGATTCATTATGTAAAGATACATATAGCAGACTGTAAAATGACCATTGTTATGTAATTTCCAAATAAATAGATCCCTCTCTTTAGTTAAACTGATATGACTGATCTTAGCTACTCCCTCTGTCGGATATCTATACCCGGGTATCTGAGCCAAATGATTAAAGAGCATCACGTCGCCTCATCCGATGGTTAAAAACGCAACTACGGCCTCGTCCGACTCCGAGGACGAAGTTTCCGCCTCGTCCGATCCCCAGGGGCAGGCCACGCCTCGTCCGACGCCGAGGACGAGGTTTCCGCCTCGTCCGACCCCAGGGGCCGGGCCACGCTTCATCCGAGGACGAGGACAAGGTTTCCGCATCGTCCGACTCCGAGGGCAAAGTTTCCACCTCGTTCGACCCCAGGGCCCAGGCCACGCCTCGTCCGGTCCCACGGGGAGGGCCCCGCCTCGTCCGACCCCCGAGGTCGGATTCCATCTCGCCCGGCTCCCAGGGAGAGATTTCCGCCTCGCCCGATCCTTGGGGATCGGATCTGCTACCGGACCAAGGTAGTAGTCCCAGGGTAGGGCTCAAACCGCTTCAACCACTATGGCATGGAAGCGCACGCCGGGGAGCACGTCTCGGACGTGTCCTGATGCGACTGGCGGTCGCATTGGGCCATGCTGGGAAACTCACGTCGCCCATCGCGTCAACATGCCAGCACTGTGCTGCCAACTCCCTGCCTGACCAGCGTCCAACATCAGTCAACCGACGTCAGTTGACTGGCACTGTACCACTAGCCCCCCGCATGGCTTCTGTCAGGAGACCCTCTAACCATTTCGTCCGCTCGGACGGGATGGAAGACAAGGATGGCGCGCGACGCCCGCACGTAAGCTGCAGCGGCCAACAGGATTCCAATACGACGCCGCTGCCTCCACGATCTACAGGGGCAGCAGGACCCACGCGAAGAGGAGGACGGCACGCCCCCGGGAGCCTTATTTCTCTTTTTTCCCTCTTCCCGCCGGCTATAACCCCTGCTCTCCCTTGGCTTATAAAAGGGAAAGCAGGGCATCCCACTTAGGAGGGCGATTCATCGAACAAACACACCACATCACACCAGAGACTTGGGAGCTATCTCCCTCTCTCACCAGTTTGTAACCCCCTACTACAAACTCAGTGCCGGTAACACGAGCAGCTCGAAACTGGACGTAGGGACATTCGGCCCGAACCAGTATACAAATTTACTAGCTGGTGCTTACTCGAAACACGGACACCCTCCATCATAAATTATAAGACATTAAAACTTTCTTAGAGAGTCAAAACATTTCAAGTTTGATCAAATTTGTAGAACAGAATAATAATATTTATGATACCAAATAACTGATTCTTCAGTAATTATATTTTCAAAGTATACCTATTTGATGTCATAACTCTTTGTAATTATCTCTATAATTTTGTTCAAACTTGAGATGCTTTGACTTTCAAGAAAGTTGACATACCTTATAATTTGGAATTGAGAGAGTACTAAGTCTTCCCATTGATTGAGTTTATCCCCCACAAGAGTTTTCCGAATTGAAATATTCAGTGCTGTTGATCTCATAATATTGGCCATCATGTGTTGCTTTGGTATTCCAGATTTTAGGGCTCCTTTGGTTTGCCTGCCCTTCATACTCGCACCAACTTCCCTGGTAAGGCTAACTAAATTGACTTACTCAGGAAAGAAAGCAAAAGGCTTGCTTTCATGAGCATCGTTGCAGCTTAGCTGATCCAACTACATGTACTATTACAACTGTATTGCTCATCAAGGACACGAGCTCTAGCAAAGCAAAGGATCCGAACGTGCCCCTGATCATAAACCCGTACGAGCCTATCACACAACAGCAACGGCACGGCATGGTCAACACGTCAATGATCTAGCATGATGTGACGGCATGGTTGTTGATCATGCCAGGACACTACTAGTACACTAGTACTCAGTTATTAAAATTTATATGATTTTGGTACGGCTAATGCTCAGACTTTGGCGTCCGTATGTCCGGACAAACGAAATCAATTCTTCCTTACTCCGTGCTCGTCTTCCCGCTCCGCGGTCGTCCATCGTGAGGCCGTCCGCCCGCCCCGCTCCGCGGCGCCGCCGCCATCATCTCCGTGGCGCCTCCATCCCACACTGCGGCCCACTCCGGTGCGTTACCGCCGCTATCCCCCATGGCGCCTCCCATCCCCCGCGGTGCCTTCGTCCCCCGCCGTGCCTCCGTCGCCTGCCATGTCGTGCTCCATCCTTCGCCGCGGCCAGGCCAAGCGGCCAGGAGAGAGGGTCGTCACTAGCCGGGCCCAGGCCAGGCGTCGGCGTATGTGGAGGTATTAACCCCTATACCCTTACGGCTAATTTTGGACTGGCCCGGACCAGGGGGTTCGGTCCACCAGAAGACGACGCGCGGCCCAGCCGATCTGCTCGGAGTCCCGCGCAAGGAATCAAGGCAGACTTGGAGATCAAGCAAGATCCTGATCGGTTAGAATAAGAATCCGTATCCGGCCACCTATGGCAATTGTAACCGGTTAGGATTAGTTTCCAGATCTGTAACCCTGCCCCCAGACTATATAAGATGGGCAGGGGACCCCTCTCAAAAACAATCTCATTGACATACAGCAATACAATCAGACGCAGGACGTAGGTATTACGCCATCACGGCGGCCAAACCTGGATAAAACCTCGTGTCTGTCTTGCGTCATCATCTCGTTCGTAGCTTGCGCACCTGTCTGCCGATAATCTACTACCTTGGGCATACCCCTAGGTAGACTACCGACCATATTTCGTCGACAGTGGCGCGCCAGGTAGGGGGTGTGCGTACTGCTCCCCAGACGAACAAGATGGTCATCATCCCCGGCTCCATGGCTACGCCGAACGGCCTCACATTCACCATCGGCTAGATCACCTGGACCACTGGCTCCGACAACTTCATCGCCATGACCACGGAGGAGGCGCAGATCCAATTTGCGTCGACCACTGCTTCACCAGCATCGGCTACGGCTCCGACCACGTTGGATCTGGCTCTGGCCACACCAGCATTGTCTTCAGCCACGCCGACAACCCGTCATTCGCTTCCTCGCTACAAAGAGAGGCAGATCGACAACACTGATCTGCTCGACTCCATCGATCGGGTCGGCACCAAGCTTGCTGAAACCCTAGCTTTGGTAGATTCAATTCAAAATCAACCTACCGAGCAGGTAGCCACTACCCACAACAGATCTACCTGACCAGCTCGGGCCAGTCGTCCTGCACGACTCGGTACGAATCTCATGGTCACGTCTACTCCTGAAGGGCGCTCCATTCGTCGCCGACCAACCCCCACAACGGGTCTCCGGCTCTTCGAGTGCGAAGCCTTGATGGAGAATTACCAGGCCCAGCCCTACGGCCTGCAAAACACTGCTTCCAACTATGCGTACAATATACACCGATCTCGGCCAAAGCCACGCAACTTCGTCAACATGGTTCGGATTGAGGAGTATCAAGAAGGATCGGTCCACACAGTTCAAGAGGGCGGCTCAAGCTCCCCGTCCAGCACCGCATCTAATGGCTCCATCCACACTGAGCTTCAGCTTCACGACGATGAAGAAGTTGATTATGATCTGGATATCCCCGTCCAAGCGCCAACGTAGCTGTTGCTATGGCGACAATGCAATGACTGCCCAATACCCCGGAAATCCAGACAATTCGTGATGATATGCAAGCCTACCTGACGGCTGCTATGGCCCAGACCGTAGAGATTGAGAACCAAGCTCAGGCTCTGACCGCCTCAGTCGAATCAAGCCACTGTCGTCAGTATTCAAGTTGCCCACAGCCACCCAACCAACGTGGCTCACGCAACAACGTCCCACCAGACAACCGTCAAGGCGGAAACAGTGGTCATGATGGTGGTCGGGACGACAATCGCCGCTACAACCGAGACGATAATCGACGAGAAAACCGCGACAATCGTCGTGATAACCACGGTCGCAGGGTCAACCAGGGTGGCAATCGGGATCGCCATGATGGCAATAACGATCTCCGCCATTCCCTCGGAGAACGCGATCTGCGCGATCGCATTAACCAAAGAGCCAACGATCGTGCATCCTACGAAAGCTATCACCATATGGAATATGATACTACCCACGGCCCTCTGGGTTTGAAGCAGTTTACTCCTCACCTTCGCCAAGTCATGTGGCCAAAAAACTTCAAGCTCGAAA